TTACACTTCAAGTTATTTTTCTTTGTAATAGTAATAGCATTTTATATGTTACCCATAAACAAAATAATTTTAAAAAGTAACTTTGTCATATTTTTATTTATATAACTGGAACATAATCGATCATATGAATTTAGTTGATAGTTGAATAAAATTGGTTGGACGTATTTCTTTTATGGGGAAATTCGCTATACATCCGTAGAGAGTAATGCCCTTCCGAATGAGGAGAGTGAGTATTTGGCCATTTGCTAAAACTCCTCTAACTTTTAGTGGACGTCTTTCAACCTCTTCACCACTCCAGCTATGTAACTTGTACCACACTCCATTTACCCAACACCTCCGCCGACTCTCTCAATAGATTCTCCAAATCGAAGTTGTACCCGCTGTTGTGGAAGATCAGTGATTTCGTCCTTCGACAAGGACGTGCCGGCGTCCTCCACCACCCTCGACGCTGCTGTTGCCAGGGGCGGATGCTTTCAAGGGCAAGGAGGGGCTGTTGCACCCCCTAGATTTTGTTTATTATCTATATACATATATGATCAGAGCCTGCTCAAGCTCATATGGAGCCCTAGGCAAATATTCTTTTTGGGGCTCTTTTATATTAATTTTTTAATTTAAAATTAAATATTTTTTGGTATTTTCTTACTATTTGAAGTGCAAATATTAAAATTATTAGATCTTATGATATATTTTTCTACAATTTGTCTTTCATATAAATATTTTTGTTTAGTTTTATGAAAATATATATTAAAAAAAAACAAATTTGGGGGCCCTAATTTATAATACACATAATTTAGGCGGCCATATGGATATTACAGATAGTTTAAGGGCCCGAGGCATACACCTAAGTTACCTATGCACTAGAGCCGGCCCTGTATATGATTTACTATTTAAAATTTAACATAGCTCCCATAATTCTTCACAATGAATTACAGCTCCAAGGTCTGGTACCACCAAAAACAACTGATAAATTGCAAACCCTCACAGTTAAATAAGATTTTTAGATGATTAATTAATGATATATTTTACTTATTAATTTTATTTAAATTTTAAAGCAAACATAGTTTTAAAATTAGGAAACAATCATCAAAATAGGAATAAATTTTTCAATAGTTTTATTTCCTTTTTATTATCTTCTCTTGTTCTCCACCACACAACCATCGATTTACATACCATTAGAAAATTCTTAAGACAATTAACAAATTCCATTGCTTTCCCTCTCTAATTTTTTTTCTCATTCTTTAATTGTATGTTACAATTGTTGGGGTTTTTAATATGCGGAAGTGTGGTGTTAAGAAAGAACACCAAGAATTGGTGTAGAGATTTTACTAAGTGAAGAACAATGGAATTACTTAAGAACAAGAAAGGTTTTTAGTGCTGGAATTTTTTTGTTTTTAGTTGTTATTATTGCTTTCTTGCTTGTTTACAAATCTGATCTTGGGTACAATTTATAGGGTAGGAATGGATACAAAGAGACACTCAATTCCAAGTCCCAAGTTCTTAGGAAATGTAAAAGACATAACAAATTACAAGAAACCTTCTTGACTTCTACAAGTCAAGTCTTCATCTTTGAATGGTGTTCCAACTTCTTTATTGAAAATATGAATTACTATTTTCAATACCCCCTCTTAATTCATAATTTTCAGCTTCTTCTTGAACTTTTCAAACTTATCGATTGTCACAGCTAAGGGTGGAAATCGGACGGATCGGATCGGATCTAGGCCTTTCGGAAAATTTCCGATTTTTTTCGGAAATCATTATAGCCTTCCAATTCCGATTCCGATTATTTCGGATTCTTAAAATGGATTCCGATTCCGAAAAAATCGGAAATTTCGGAATTCCGGAAAATTTCGGAAAAAGAGAGAAATAGGAAAAACAGATCAAAAACAACATTAAAAAAAAAATAAAAAATCCAAAACTCAACAGCAAAATCAATGGCGAGTGTAAAGCAAACAAAAATTCTATTTTCTTCATATTACATGAACAAATCAAGTATTACACATTAATAATTCCTAAAACAACCAACCATCTACTGAAGCTACAAAGCAAAGAAAAAGGGAAAAATGTTATCAATACATGATTGAAATCGATCGGTGCATTGATGAAGCGAGCAACTCGAAGGAGTAACAAGTACGAAGATTAACTCAATATTTGACTGAAGAACGTAACGAAAACGAAGAATAGCCAAAGCAGCTCTCTGCGAAGAAGAAAAAAGAATCGGAAGATTAGGTATGAAGGTGAGGAGAAGAGCAAGACGGCGCAGACAAAGTGAAAATTGGATTAGGTTTGAGAGGAGATATGTTGGGTATTTTGGTTTCTAAATTGGGCCATTAGTACATGGGCCAGAATAAAAAATAAGAATAAAACAATCAATTTATAGTCCAGCCCAAACAAAACCTCAGTTTTATTAGTATGAAAATATATAATTATGTAATACATTTTAAATGTATTAAAATTTCGGAAATTTTCGGAAATTTTCGGAATTATTTTCGGATCGGAATTCGGAAATTCCGGAGGTTTTATATCAAATCCCGATTCTGATCCGATTTTTTTCGGAAAATTCGGAAATCGGAATTTTCGGAAATCGGACTACAAAAAATCATTCCGAAATCGGAAATAATCGGATCGGATTCGGCGGAAATCGGAAATTCTGTTCTGATCTCCACCCCTAGTCACGGCTTTGGTAAGAAAATGAGCAGCTTGATCATTGGTGTTAACGAATCTCATTGAGATTTCTTCTTCTTCAACAAGATCACGTATGAAGTGATGTCAAAGCTCGATATGCTTGGACCTTGCATGAAAGACTGGATTTTTAGTCATTGCAATTGTAGACATGTTATCACAAAAGGTAGTCGTAGCATGCACTTGCTTTTCTTGCAAATTCGAAAGAATTCTGCTAAGCCAAACGGCTTCACAAGCGGCATCCGCCGCGGCAATATACTCGTCTTCACTTGAAGATAAAGCAACCGTCTTTTGCTTCTTAGAAATCCATGCAATCACCTTCGAACCAAGAGAGAAAACATAGTCCGAAGTGCTTTTACGATCATCCAAACAACCTGCCCAATCACTATCGGTGAAACCGATCAAGGCATTATTTTCTTCTTTTTCGTACTTCAACCCTTGCTTCTTTGTTCCTTGAAGGTATCGAAGGATCCTCTTTGCCGCTTCTTTTTTTACATAGAGAGAGGGCTCACTTGGACTTTTTTGAAATCCATTCTTGCAAAAATAGCCATCAATTTTGCTATTCCAAGCTCGTGGTGCTTGTTTTAATCCGTAGAGAGCTTTCTTCAAACGATAGACTTTTTCCTCCTTGTCGGCAACTTCAAAGCCTTGAGGTTGATGAACATAGACTTCTTCTTTAAGCTCTCCATTAAGGAATGCAGATTTGACATCCAATTGATAGACATTCAGCCCCAATTGAGCTCCGATTGCAAGAAAACACCGAATTGTCTCCATTCATGCTACCGGTGCAAAAGTCTCATTGAAGTCTATCCCGGGCTGCTGCGAATACCCTTTTGCAACTAATCTCGCCTTGTATTTTTGGATAGAACCGTTTTCATTGAGTTTGGTTTTGAACACCCACTTTAAGTCGATCACATCTTTGCCTTGTGGCAAATCCACAAGCTCCCAAGTTTTATTTTTTTTAATTGTTTCAATTTCGGCTTCCATGGCTTTTCTCCAAACTTCTTCTTTTGATGCCTCTTCAAAATTCTGAGGTTCACAACCAAAGAAAGCAATATCACAGTGCTCATAAATATCTTTCAATGATCGTACCTTTCTTGGAGGAGATTCGGAATCCGAACTTGAAGAACTTGAGGAACTTCTTTCAGGTGTTCTTTGAGGTGTTCCTTGTAGACTTGTTAATGGAGTTTCATTTCCATTTTGCTGCTGCCCTTCGGGTACAAAAAGTGACTCCAAGGAATCATTTGACACCAAGTTTGGTAAAGAATTGTCCTCCTTATTCCATTTGGCCATTTCGTCAAAAATCACATCTCTTGACACGATGAGTTTTTTAGTTTCGGGGTTATAAAGACGATAACCCTTTGACTCGTCGGTGTAGCTAACAAGAATTAGTTTTTCACCTTTTTCATCGTATTTGTCTCGGTTTGGAGTTGAGATATGAGAGTAGGCAATGCAGCCAAAAACTCTCAAGTGATCCACCGGTGGCTTCTTTTCATGCCAAGCTTCGTACGGTGTTTTATCTAGAAACGCCTTTATCGGGGACCGGTTGAGTATGTAGATAGCGGTGTGAACAGCTTCAGCCCAAAATTATTTTTGCAAGCTTTTTCCTTGAAGCATACTCCTCGCCATCTCGACAATGGTTCTATTCTTCCTTTCGGCTACACCGTTTTGTTGTGGACTTCTACGAACGGTGAGTTGTCTTTGAATCCCGTTTTTCTTGCAATACTCCATGAATGGTGTGTAGAGAAACTCACCACCACGATCCGTCCGTAACGACTTGATTTTTAATCCACTTTGATTTTCAACAAGAGCTTTGAATTGTAGAAAAATGGAAAATGCTTCCGATTTTTCACTCAAAAAATATATCCACATCATTCTTGAAAAATCATCGACAAAAAGAATGAAGTACCTTTTGTTACCGAGAGATGGAGTCCTCGTAGGACCAAAAATGTCCGAATGCACCAGCTCGAGTGGACATTTGGCTCTCCAAGAAGTTTTAGGATGCATTTTGCCGAAAATGCACCCTTCACAAACTTGCTCCTTTCTTTCAATTGATGGAAGGCCAACAGCCATACTCTTTTGCTTCAATAGTTGCAGCCCCTTGTTGTGCAAATGACCATATCTCAAATGCCACAAATGGGATTTATCGACACTTTCAGCTTTGAAGGCCATTTCCCTTTCCAACGACATAACAAAGGGAAATACCTTGTTTGATGTCATTTGGATTGTCATCACATGAGTTTTGGTTTTCTTATCAAATATGCTGCACTCGTTATCGCCAAAAAGTAACCGATAACCTTTTTGCATGAGTTGGCCGACGCTCAATAATTTTGAGTGATGCTCGGAACGAAAAGAACATCTTTAATGAGCTTTTGATTGCTTCCCTTTTTGTTAACATCAATTGCGCCTTTTCCTTTTGCTTCAAGAATGCTTCCGTCTCCAAGTTTTATTTTAGAGTAGTGATTAGTATCTATCTCCACAAAGATACTACGATCACCACACATGTGGTTGCTACATGTGCTATCGACATACCACACGTTCTCGAACTCTTTTTGCCCATTTATGCAAGAAAAGAGTTGGTCTTCTTCATGCTTGGAGAAGTTTGCTTCGTCTTTGTCGTCTTTATTTTTTCTTGGACATTTAGAATACGAGTGGTCCGTATCCTTGCAGCTCTTGCATCTGAAGAAACAATTTTTAGTTTCATGGTTCGATTTTTTACAAATACGACAACCCGAAAAAGAATTTTCAGATTGTTGTTCTTTTCCTCCTTTAAAGAATTTTCCTTGTCTTTTTCCTTTGTTGTTGAAGCAGCCTTTTCCACCTTGCCATCTTGAACTTTTCTTGTCCGAAATATGAAGTTTCGACTGAAAAGCTTGATCCACGGGCTGATTTGATGACCTATTCAACCTTTCCTCATGAACTTGAAGAGAACTCATCAATTCATTAAAGGTATAGGTGGAAAGATTTTTAGATTCTTCTATGGCCGCAACAACATGATCGAACTTCGCCGGAAGACTTCTTAGAATTTTTTGAACAATTTTACATTCTTCAATAACGTCACCAAGGCTTCGAATTTGGTTGACGATTTCAGCAACTTTGGAAAGAAAGGATTGCATTCCATCGCCTTCTTTCATTGCCATGTTATCGAAATCTCTCCAAAGAGATTGGAGTTTTAAAGAAGTGACTTTATCATCTCCTTTTAAAGAAGTGACTTTATCATCTCTTTTAAAACATTGTTGTAGAATATCCCAAGCTTCTTTTGCCTTTTTTGCTCCAAATATTCTTGGAAAAATGGTTTTTTACTCACGCCTTGTTGAAGATATCTCAAGGCACTTGCATCTCTCCGAATATTCTCCTTGTAAAGTTTTTGTTGTGCTTCACTCCACGATTCACTCGTAGCTTCTTTTGGTGGCTCTGCGTATGTGTTCTCCACGATATCCCAAAGATCCAAAGAGATATACAAAGTTTGCATTTGACTACTCCTATAGTCGCAGTGTTCGCCGTCGAAGATGGGTACTTGGTTGGGGGTAAGTGCAAACATGGTGAAAATATATTTCGGTGATTGAAAGAGGTTTTGATTGTCAGATAAGAGTGGAGAGACCTGTTGTTTTCGGTATATAAAACGGGTAGTGAATTTAGTAAAATGGTTGAACAAATTAGTGAAAATACGGAATGATTAGCCGAGGCGAGAAAAACTCTTTCCTTAAGACAATATTGCCCAGCTACGGTGCTTACGGTTATTTGGCAAAAGGTCTCCCAAGATACAACGGCTAACTCGGCATATGAGCACTCAAAATCCCGAGTACAACGAACGTTACTTTGTGTCTCAAACTCTCGAATCGAATACGGAAGAAAATATTGTACGAAGAATATTTTCGGGCTAAAGAATGAATAATTCCATAGAACAAAATTATGGAATTGAATTGAGTTTTTATGTGGTTATTTAATCAAACATGTGGAGTTTCTATTTATAAGTTTCCAATGGTTGTGATTAAACAAGTGAAGAGGTGTGGCCACACATCTTCATATTGTCACACCTATTTGATCAAATAGGTGCCTAAAATATTTTTTAATTTTCATTCAAAAAATAATTTTAATAAAATTCCCAACAATCCCCCACATGAATGAAATTAACGAAAAAACGATGGATTCTATCGAGAGTTCAAGTGGAAACTATTGCAATGGGGATAGGTAGCTTTTGGCTTTGAACCTTCCTTAGCGGTATAGCATCGGATTTACTTGGCTAGTTAGTGAACGCGATGTCTTGAACTGCCAGCCGTTTGTGTAAACCAAGACAATGATAACCACACAATAGTTCTCCCACATTTCATCAGTTCTCATGGTTGCGTCCATTTTGGCCCTAGTGCACATCTTGGATTCATAAGTGTTTGTCATTTTGAAGTGGCCCACACTTCTACACTTAGATAGGTGATGTCCTATTAAAGGTATCCTGCCAATACCTCACCTTTTGTCAAGGTTCTGGAATCATTAAAAGCTTTCGCTTATCCTTTACCCTCTCTGCAGGCAACACTAATGTCTATCACGGGAATGAGTTGGAAATACATAATTCCATAGGAATATATACTCCTTAGTGCATCACTGAATTTCAGTAGCTTAGTTGTCCCTTTTGAACCAGTTCTTGGGATCTCCAGTCATCATGGTTGGGTTACCACTATAGAAATTCTTAATTTGTGGGTTTTAATCTCACTCCCCTAGACAGGCAATATGTTTGATCTCTTTAGTTGACTTTTAGTCGCGGATCCGCTATTAACCATTGATTTTCATAATCAATGTTATATTATTTCTTTTGAGATCAATTGCCTAATGGTATTATGTGTACGAGTGTGTCGATACTTGCCATTATACATGTCGTGTGTGCCCTTAACGTAACCGATTAGTTATCACAATTTATTTATAATTGTAGACACCGACTTAGTCCAACACGGAACATCCTCCAATAAGTTTATGAAGTTTATTTAACTTCTTTTCTAACTTTATCTAAAGCTATATATTCGAATTCAACCATGAATCGAGATATTCATTTTTCTTTGAGGATTTCCAAGATACATAATCTTAGTGGACTCATATATCCAATGTACTTTGCTAATAAAATTGGATATTTTCTTTAATGTAATTCATTTAAAGGCAATACTTAGATTACCTAAGAACCCTAATAATATCATTGAATGATGATTTATTTTGGGATTACATATAAAAAATATACTGTCAAATTATCCAAAAATATTTATAATTGAACCATTGTTCATCATTATTTTTGGCAAAGTAAAGACTTAGTTTTTAGACAACTAGATCAATTTTCTAGTAGTGTCTCAGCATGAGACTTTCAATAAGACTATCTTTGTCTTAGTGAATTTAATCTTTAAGATTACATCATCTAGACCCTCGTCTTTTACATCAAACATTTAATTTTTATTTTTCCAATATTTTCTCAAAGTTCAGAATAATATCATGATCACTATCTCATGATTATAATGTAGTCTATAGACATATATTTCCATGTGCTTTTAATATAAACACACTGGTCACACTCGTTAATACGAGAATTATTTGATAACACAATTTTATCAAATATTACTTTAGAAGGACTTTAAGGGATTCCAATATCTTGTTATAAATAATCAAAAAATTCAATAGCTACTAATTTAGCTTTATAGGACCACCCTTGATCATTCATTTGAATAGTCCATCTAAACCTTAATGGTTTACTACTTGGAAGAAAGACAAACTAACTTCCACGTACATTCCTCCAATGTAGACAATATTGATTTTATTTGTCATCTTGTTGTATCTTGGTTGTTCATCACTTTGATGATTTACATCTCTCACAATTGCCATCTTATTGTATCTTGGTTGTTCATCACTTTGATGATTTACCACTCTCACATATTTTAACTTGGTTGTTCATCACTTTGATGATTTACCACTTACACATTTATAAGTTCTCTTGTTTAGAACTTATTTATTTTCTTATTTTACAAGAAACCACAATATAATCAATTTGCATCAAGAGTGACTATCTCGTGCACAATCATTATAAATATATTCAATATTTATCCATTTGACTATACTAGGCCTTATATTAACTTAGGTACTTTTTTTTTTTCCTCCGCCTAAACACCCCCACATTTCTAAATATTAATGTGGTTACTGGTTAGGGCCTAAAGACCCTCACATTTCTAAATATTTATGTGGTGAATATTTAATTTATGTGGCTAGACCCCCACATTTCTAAATATTAGCGTGGTTAGCTCGGGATATCTATATCTAATTTCCCCCACAAATTCTAGACTATGTATTCTAGAATTTATAATATCCATATTTTTTTCCAAAAGTTTCAGTACTCATTTTTTAATTCATTTGTCAAAGTTGACATTTTCAACTTTCATTCACATAGCATTTAAATGCTTTGAAATCCTTATTTTTATTTTATTAATAAGGATACACAATGTAACAAAATACATTTCTTCTTTAGTTCGAGAATATATTGGATCACCAATATGATTTAATTACCAATATTTGTATTTCTTTCTCTCAAGAAATCATAAAAAAATAAACTTCTCAAGATACTTAAATCTTGTCAACAAATAAGATAAGAAGATTTCTTTCTTTTCCTCAAAAAGAGAAAACTCGTCAATATACTTAAATCTTGTCAATAAACAAGAGAATATAAATGGTGGTTGATCTCCACTATTCAATATTAAAGTTAGAATATACAAATTCTAATCTCAATCGTTCATAATTTAGGATTGTATGTCCTAAACATGCCATTCAAAATTCAGCCAAATCCAACGATTTAATTCTACAAAATGAGCTCTTAAGTAAACTGCTGAAATTTTCTTTCAACAAAACATCTATTGTTGTTTACAACTATTTCGGATGTTTGAAAATCAAAATCCGATCTCATCCATTCACATTGTAGATCATCATCTTGCAAATGTGATATCAAATCATATCGAATCCAACGACTCGATCTTCTTTTATGTTCTTGAGACAAGAACTACTCATGTTCTCTCATGAATTGAGCTTCTTTTTCTTTCAAATTCATTTCAATCATGCTTTTAATTGCACTGTAGTATGATTCATATATAAAACATATGTACATCAATATTATAATAAACATATTATATGACATGTGACCACGACTTTCACACTAGTTGATCATAGAAAGAAACAATACTAGTTGGTCATAGAAAGAAACAATAGATCAAATATACTTTATCAATATATACATAGTATGCACACGAATGCATAATAACATCAAGTTTATATTTCATGGCATAAATTAATTCATGTCCAACATAATGAATTGATATAAATTCTATAGCACGTAAACAATGCTTGCCCATGAAATAACATAATTCTAATGAATTAGTATGGCTTACGAAAATAATAATATGTATAAGAGCAAATACTTAATATACGAGACAAGTCTAATCGTTCATAGACAATAACAAAACGTTAATAAAATCACGTACTCACAAATTTCATATAACATATTCGAAAATTAATCAACCGGATGGTTCCACATCAAATGAAAATTGGGAGAAAGCTAATCCCGTATCAAACTATATGCAATTTATGCAAATAAATATTGCATTTTCATGAGAAATGTCATGCGGTTTATAATAAACTTATTCAAATAATTAACACATACCCTATAACTTTATTGCATTTATGATAAAATTATTTATATCATTAATGTAGATACACAAACATAATGAATATTCATTAAGCATATATATTGTATATAGTTTACCATTCTTCCACATATTAAAATTAAACTATCATGCAATAATCCACCATTATATCATATAGCATTATCAATTTATTGCACAAATAGATATCTTATAATTAAAAAAACGTACCCGCTAAATTATATGTTCATCAATTCAAATTTTGTGGGTAGCACCAAATCGTGTCAATATTATGGCAGTGCTGAATGATTTAATCATATCTCTTCCGTCTGAAGTCTGATTTTGTTGATTCAATATGATCAAAATAGCCAACACAATTTTCTACAACTTTTGTCTTTTACGTTTCTTAGATTTGGACTGGATCATGATCAAAATAAGCCTCGAAGTCGGAGTAGGTGTGCTGTAAATTTGCTCCTACAATGGAA